ATGGATGGTCCTCTCTGAGGGAGAAGCTCTTCACCTTCCTCTGGATTATTCGCATTTTTTGTATATTGGTCTGTTAGTGTAGCACTTTGTTGTACGTGTGGAGATGAGGACCAAAGCCAGAGGTGAACTTACAGTGAGACAATTATTGACTGCTACAAAAATCCAAAAAGGTGAAACAGAAAACAAACCTGAACCCTGGGCTGGAAACCTCTGGAACAAGGTGAACAGACACTCTGACAAAGCACGAGGGGAGGCAGCGACTATATATTGTGTTTATACACCTCTCTGCATTTAATTATGAGTTATTATTCATAGCTCTCTTCTACAGGCGGTCTTTGTTCTGTCTTCCTCCCCTCACCCCAGCTAATTACAGCAGATGGCTCCGCCCCTCTTGGTGCCTGGCGCTGCCGGGAGTTTTTCCTTCCTACTGTCGCCAAAGTGTTTGCTTTTAGGGAGCTGTCTAATTATTGGGGGTTCTCTGTACTATTGTTGTGATTTTGGTTATGAATAAAATTGAAGTAATGATAATGGATTGGATTTATATAGCGCTTTACAATGCCACTATTCATTCACTCTCACATTCACACGCTGGTGGAGGCAGCTACAGTTGCAGCCACAGCTGCCCTGGGGAAGACTGACAGAAGCGAGGCTGCCATATCGCACCATAGGCCCCTCTGGCCAACACTAGTAGGCGGTAGGTGAAGTGTCTTGCCCAAGGACACAACGACCAGGACTGACAGAGAGCCCAGGGATCGAACCGGCAACCTTCAGGTTACAGATGCGCTTCCCAACCCCCTGAGACACGAGCTGTAGATTGAAATGAATTGAATGAAGGCACAGGAAAGCAGTTGGGGGAAGTGGAGACAGCTGGAGAGAAAAAGGCGTAGCTGAACTAAATCACAGAAGATGAGACAACGAAAGCAAAGCTAAAAGCAAAACATGAGGAACGCTAACTTTCAAAGCAGGACACGAGATGATTAAGAACACAAACTCACAGGCATGAACTTCATACAGGAGACTTAACACAACACTGAAAGAGGAATTAAATGCCAGAACCACTCAGGACCAAGACCCAGACTAAATACACGAAGAGGGGAAAAATACACGAAACAATAGAAATACTGAATATTTCAATACATGAAACGTGAAAGAGTAAAAAACTCAAAAACACTGAGTAAACTGACCAAGACCACAATAAACTGGGCTGGCTCATTAGGCATGCAGCTGATGGAGGGAGCACCTGATTTGCTTTTTGCTTTGAGTTCTATCGGTGCAGCATTTCACTATCACTCCGTCACGCTCATTTATTCATGAACAGCCAAAATCTTGTTTGAGATTAAAATTCAAGGAGTTCTGAAGCCCAATGAGATCAAACATTTTACAATCCAGTGGTCCCATATTGCAGCCAGTGTATTCCACTACACTGTAATCTGTAGTCACTACAGATTACAGATTACATGCCCCAAAATGTATTTTGTACCGTATTCCATTACATTACTCAATGAGAGTAACGTATTCTGAATACTTTGGATTACTTAATATATTATCAGGCTTTTTACAACTACATGAATGTCCTATTGCTGTGTGATTTATTACTATTACTGAAGGTTACTCTCCACACCAACACAACTTAAATCTTAATATAAATGAGTAACAGTAGGTGCACATTAGGTAAGGCTGCACTTTTTGCTGTGATCTCGTATAGAAAACTATTCAGCGCGTATATAAAACAGGTCCGCGGCTCTGAACCGTAGTAAAGGGACCTCTGGCTAATACGTCGGGTTCGTGTCGGCTCGTAGCCGAAAACTAGCTTTACTTTGTTGTCTGGGTCACTTTGCTAGTGAGAGACAGAGAGAGGCGTTGAAAGGCTGCTCCAACCGAACGTATTGTTTCGGAGGAAAACACGAACACGGCGTACAGTCGAGTCTTAACAGCTTACTTACAGCTGGGCTCGTCACGCACTCTTCTTGGCTGCAGTGGTTATTTTTTATTTACATGCTTCCAGCTCCCGTTTCTGCTCGGTGACAGCTCGTACTTTTCCTTTCTCTCCCTCCCTCGCTCACAGACACATCACGGGTATGGCGGTCCATTCTCCCTTTATAAAAGGTAACTGTAACAGAATACAGTTACTCATATTTTGTATTTTAAATACGTAACGGCGGTACATGTATTCTGTTACTCCCCAACACTGTTAGCAGCACTTGGTGAAGGTGGGGATGAAGAACTTTTAACAGGAAGAAACCTCTAGGCTTACACAGATCAGCTCAATCAGTTGAATATCTTCTGTGTTCATGAAGACAGAAAAAAAAATTGTTGCCTGTGGAAATATTTACACGTTTTTGTGAAATCTAACACATTGAAACCTGAACTCCACTTCATTTAAGGAAAACAATGGTAGTGGTGAGCATAAACCAGCTCCAACATAGTGGGGCGCTATACCATGCTGCTCAACGCATACACATAAAAGCTGAAAGAAAGAGGGGACGGATGCTAGTTGATGTGCAAATTGTTTTTTATCTCACGTTTCCATACGAGGCACTCGACACCGCAGTGGCAGAAAAGATGTGACGTGACAAATCAGATATAAATCCGATTTAAATGTGATTTAAATCCGACCCACAGACGTCACTTGAGGGTCCTAATGAATTTTGGCCTCCTACGTGTTGTTTGGTGACGGAAAGTTGATATTGAAGGCAGACGATTTCAGAGCAGATGGAGGCTGAGTCGCCTACGCCTTTGATGAGTGCGGAGAGAAGCCGGTGCACTTCATTAGCATGAGAGTTTATTTCTGTTATAAGCTTGAATCCATGCAACAGCTGAAACATGAAGCCAGAGCACAAGTTTCTCTGATTCAGGCCAAATCCAAAAGTGACAGATCGCAAACGTTAGTCTGCATCGTGCAGGGAAGCTACGCTATCTATGCTGAGATCTTTTTCATGAAATTTCCCACACAGCTTTCGAGACATAATGTTCATACTGGTGAAACAGCTGCTGTGAGACTTAAAGAGATGTGCAAGAGCAGAAACTGCAAAAGTCAAGGGTGATGTGTTACAGCCTGAACACATAATGTTTGTTCCATGCACTTTTAAAGGCAGTGCATGACAGACATGCACCTTCAGATAAATTGATGCATGTACGTACATTATATATTTATAATGGTGTGCTCCTGATTTCCCAGCATCAGCTGTAATTGTTACAAAGAGCACCTCCCCCAGAGGAATAAGGCCTGTCTAAATGGTGCAAACAGATAATATTAAATCCAGATAGCGTTGCATGGTAGTAGCATGTAGTTTATAGCTTCATTTTTAATTTTATTCATGTTGTGTTATTTCTATTTACTCCGGCCATGTTCTTTTACAGTAACTACATTTTGCGGGTAAAATAAAAACGAAAGAGGTATGAGGTTGATTTTTAAATACGAGTTTCGAATGCGGTGACCCTTTTCTTACCTTAAATGGCATGTGAACATTTCATTGACAGATGTAGAACAAAGTTAAGATGATAATGAGCATCCTGAGGCTGTGAAGTGATGCAGAAAGCAGAAAATTACTGATAAACATCAAGCTTTCAATCAAACCAGGTCACATACTGTAGGCTGCAAGAAAACAGAAGAAAACAGTGATGATGCTGCACTTTAGACCAGCCTGAGTCACAACACGACTGCAAATCAGGTCAGAGATTGAAGCGCGCTCGCATCCTGCGATCATGGCTGATGCTGCAGCTCTGGCAACGCAACAAAACACACATCTCAAAACTCCGGCGGAGGTGAGGCGGGAAGACGATTCACGGGGTCTCAGGATGAGGTGATGTCACACTGGACTGTTGCATCAGTCATACTGGAACATTATGGAGGCTGTGATGCAACAAAGTGTGTCAGACTGAATTAACACTCAGATTTAACAATTAACCTCTTCTCGCTTGATTTGATACGTTTGATTTAAAGAAACAAAGACATGTTGAGTTTCTAAACTGACATGAAATCCTTCAAAGTTTCGGTTTTGTTAATATTTAAAAATCATCCTTCCGAGACATTAAAAGTGGTGTTCCACAGGGTTTTGCTCTCTGTCCACTTCTCTTTTGTTTATGATCTGAGTATTTCAGAGACTGCTGGAATTTTCCTGCACAAGCTTCTCTACAATTTGCAGAGAGTGGTCCAGAAAAGGGCAAATATCCAGCGAGCAGCAGTTCTCTGAGTGAACATGCTTGTTGATGCTGGAGGAGAATAGCCACCCTGCTTTGAGCCAAAGGGAAGGCAACAGCAACTCTGATAATCACTCTTTAAAACTGAGATATGCATAGGAGGGATTTCTGACACAACATGAAATTTTAAAACTGACAATGAAAGAAAAATGAAGAGCAAAAACTAAAACAAGTTGGTATTTCTGTATAAAGCAGACAGCTGTGAAGCCTCAAGCTGCAGCTCGAGACTTTGATCTTTTCACTCATTATTTTAATTTGATTCCTTTGCATAAACACGAGTAGGACTCAGACTGGCCTGCAAAGTGTTAACCGAGCTTCTTTGTTGATAATGAAAACAAGAACATTCTCTGTAAATTCAGCTCCACGATGTCACAAACACAACACAGACGCCGTATTGTAACAAATATACAAATGTAAAGAACCAAATAATCGAAAAAAGCCACTTCAAAGGAGTCACGTGTGATAACATCATCTACAATCATGATAAGGACTGTTGAAGGGCTGGATTTTGCTTGTTACCACATTATATAAAACACGAAATGAAGATCTTTCTGGGCTCTTTGATAGTAAAGACTGGCGACCGCAGATGATGGCTGATAAGCCGACTGCAGATGGACGATCTGAAACTCAGTTTAGAGATAAATGTAAAATATTTACTGAAGGAATCAGATGCTGACGACATATCAGGAGGAATAATGCCACTGAATGTACATGTACAGTATTTAGACAGTAACACGTGTTGCTTTGGGCTCTTTCACTGTAAATAATAACGGATTATTTACTACATTAAACAATTGTGGCGTAGAGAACTGTGTGGGCGATTCAGGCCTTTAGCACAGAGCACCGAAAGTTCAGCTGTCTTGAAGCGTTTAAACAGATGCACTTTAATTGTATGAAGAATTATCATATCGTGTGCTAAGGTGAAGACCTGAGACGCCAGAGGATGAGCTGACCTAAAAAAATCTGCATCAAATTTTCTTTGTGTGCCAAAAACTTTAACCTCGAGATCGAACGCGAAAGTGGGTCGACGTTCAAGCCTCGTCATGTATTCTGTGTGGTTTAGAGATGAAGATCAAAGAAGAGGGAGAGAGAAAAGAAGGTGACATCATGAGAGGAGGTGTCATTCACCATAAAAATCTGAGCAGCTCCGAGTTGCAGTCACACAGAACACCACGAAACAAGAAGGAAGACGACACCATAGCCTGACCCTCCGCTTTCTGACAAGAGCCAGCAGAGCCTGAACCTCCAGCAGAGCCTGAACCTCCAGCAGAGCCCCAGGGTTAAAAAAAAACACCCAATAACTTCTCGACCTGAAAAAACCCCAAAAACGAAACAACCAGAACATCCGACCGAAGAACAAACAGAGAAACCCGGCAGCATGTTTTCAGCGACAAACAAAGTGACGGTAAGAAAACGCTCGCCTGTGTTAGCTGTTAGAGACGCCACTAAAAGCTTTATCGAACCTCCAAATTAAATGATTACGTAGCTATACAACTTGCAAAGGTTGAAATGGTTTGTCATGATTATTTTTCACAATCTCAGGGGTTACTGATAAATTAACACAAGAAACTTCCATTCGGCACTCATGTAATGCAACAGTGCCACAAAAACAACAACTGGTCCCTTATTCTTCTTTTATTTTACATTTTATTCACTTAAAAAACGACATTGTCTGGAAGTCCTCTGTTACGTCATCATAAGAACAAGTTTTACAAACATGTGTTGATTTTATGAAAAAAAATAATTCTCCGTCACTGCCTCTTCCTGCTAAAATGACGTTCTTCCTCACCACAGTCTCCGGTCACTCCGGTTTTATCGCTGATATTGCAGGCTTACAATATAAAGTGTCATCTATAGATAACCCTGGATTTTGAAATTGTATCTTGCAGTATCTCATTGAAAACTGAGAAAAAGTTTTTACAGTGACGTTATCTGAAAATGGGGACCATAAACGTTTTGTGGCTTCTCTTCCTCAGGCCGCCTGTGTCGTGGCAATAATGATGATGATGATGATCACAGAGGCAGCGGCCATGCCGAAGACAGGAAGGACACACAAGCATGGTGCAACGCTTGAAACAGTCTCCCTGCAGCTGGACGCCAAAACTCTGGAAACCCACAGACACACCAGGCTGCTGAACAACGCCTCCATCTCGCCATGGACGTACAAGTGAGTGACAAACTGTGGCATGGCCCTTTAATCACGGGGCTTACAGAGCTCTTTTAATCATCTTTTGTCCCCTCGCTTTCTCCATCCTCAGCGTCACCACCGACGACACTCTGTTCCCTCCCTTCCTGTCGGAGGCTCACTGCCTGCTGCAGGGCTGCCTGAACTTACAGGGCCAGGAAGACCGGAACCTGGAGTCCAGACCCATCATGCACCAGGTGCTGCTGCTGCGGCGCATCAGGCCAGAAGGGTCGGCAGACTACCACTACCGCCTGGAGTCCCGCCTCATCTCGGTGGGCTGCACCTGTGTCAAGCCTGTGGTCCGAATCCAGCAATGAGGACCAGCAAAACGGGCTCATGTACGGAAGACCGGGAATGTCGAGAGAAAACGAAATTAGGGGTCCATACATGTAAAATGCAGAATTACCTGCATGTAAATACGAAAATCCGACAAAAGCGACAAAAATCTGATAATATCTAATTTAAATAATTTTATCTGTCAGAGTACGTTTATTTAAATGAATGACGAGCTGATGACCAACAGACTGACTTCAGTCTGCTGTTTCATCTCAGTGACTTAGTGAAATGCTGCTTAGCGTTAACCCTGCCATCTTTTTGTTTTATGTATATTTCCAGCGATTATTATTATTATTATTATTATTAATAATAATAATAAACAGCTCACATTTACTCCAGAAATAGAAAATGGGAGAAACTACACAACCAAACGCACACTGTAGCTGAGATTTAAAAGCAGAGATTTATTTCATATTCTTTCTGTTATTTATGGTTTAAAGTAATTTAATTTTGTTTTATTTAAGTATTTTGTGCTCTTCAGTAGATATTTATTGACTCTTAATGTATTTATAATCCAGAATCTGACTCAATAAAAAACCTGAACCAAGTAGTAAAGTGTGACTGTTTTATTGTTGAATTTAAAATATAATGTGATTTCTGTACATTATCATCATCATATCATAATCCTTTACAATGATGTTGCAGTGATAAGCAGCTGTAAACACTGTACACACGTCGGTCCGGTCACTCATTCGATGCAGCAGGGTGCAGCAAACACCACCGATGTCTCAGAAGCGTTGTGTCGCGTCCATTTCACACAGGAAAGACAAAGAGATGCGTAACTGGTGGGAAACAAACCTAAAGGCAGAGTTTGAAACAGAAAAACCCTCACTTCGGTTGGATTTGTCTTAATCTTTTGGTTGCGCTCACTCTTCCCGGCTAGCTCTGGCTCTTCTGGGGGGACACTGAGGTGTTTCCAAACACGCAGACGGTCTCCTCCCTGTAGGACACGCCCAGGAGGAAACAGGTCATCTAGGAAACGCCCATTAGGCATCCTGGTCAGATGCTCAACCACCTCAGCTGACTCTTTTTGGGGTGAGTCTACTCTGAGGTCCTCACCCCCTCATCTCTTTCGGTCACCACACTCCGCTCGGGGCCATCGGTGAGTGCAGGAGCGTAGACTGACTGACGGCTTCGCCTCGACGCTCAGCTCTCTCTCATCATCACAACAGAACCTGGGAGTCAATCTCTCCTGCGCCACGCTTCCCTCACTAATGACAAATATCCAGAGACACCGAGTCTGAGCGATCCAAACCACATCATCTGTGAAACAGCAAAGATGTGATGTCTCCACCCCTGCACAGCGCCTAGAACGTCTGCCTTTAAAAGTAGGAAAAGAGCGGGTGAAATGAGCTGCCCTGGAGGGCAGCGCTGTTTTGGTTTGGGGATTTTAGGCTGTGGTTTGACTTCCTGTGTAGCGGTGATTTCATTGTTGGTAATCTCACCTCTACGACTAAGTTCAGCTCTATTTTTGCTGATGTTTGTCTTAAATTGACCTCAGAAACACTAACTCGTCTTGGACTCACTTTCAGTGATCTTGACTCTAATCCTAAAGGTCAAAATGGATCTGCTTGCTGCTTATTTTATACCTACAGATGCCACTAGATGTCGCTAAAGAGCCACATGCAATGATTTAAACGATCCTGCAGATGGCGCTGTTTGATTGAGATCAGCTGTAATTCCACACATCCTTCATTTCAGTTAATTTTGACGTTCAAAGTCCGAGAGGAAGGTTTCCTTTTAGTCGTAGGGGATGGATCTGGTTCATGTTAGGCCCAATTCATGTTTGGTTGATAGGCACACACATTCACACACACATGAGCACATTGGCACCGTTGGCATGGAAACAAAGCACAGTAAAACCCCTTCAAACCATCTAACGACGACTGAATCTGCTGCGTCCGTCTCGTTATAAAGAGTTCGTCTTGTTAAAGAGAGTCCTGGTTGTACAGAGGAGTTGTTGTGCAGTCGGTCTTGCCCTCTGCCCTCCTCATCGTCTTCTTCTCTTACTCTTTTCAGAGCTACTTCCTGTCAGTCTCTGCGCCGGAGTAGCACCAGCATCCCGGCACATCAAATATCAGCTCATCAGCCCTCCAAAATGGCTTCCAAATAAGGTTCAGCTTGTGTTGTGATCAGGCCATCAAGACACCTGGGAGCGGAGAACAGGAGGCTGTTGTTACCACAAACACTCACATTTAAAAGAGGAGGAGGTGAAGATATTAAAAAGCTTAAAACCTGCAGGGATATGAGCTACAGGCTCTCACTAAACATATTTCTGTACCTCTGGCACCTTTTTCTGGTTTGGTCTAGACCAGGGGTCTCGAACTCCAGGCCTCAAGGGCCGGTGTCCTGCAGGTTTTAGATGTGTCCTTGATCTAACACAGCTGATTCAAATGGCTAAATGACCTCCTCAACATGTCTCGAAGTTCTCCAGAGACCTGGCAATGAACTAATCATTTGATTCAGGTGTGTTGACCCAGGGTGATGTCTAAAACCTGCAGGCCACTGGCCCTCGAGGCCTGGAGTTCGAGACCCCTGGTCTAGAACCTTTTGATCCAGTAAAAGTAAAACTGCTTTATATCTGCAAATTGCAATTATTTTGTCAGTTTTGCTCTCTCCTCTTCACATCCTCCAGGTAACCTGTTACATGTGAATCTAAGGGTAGGCTTTGACTTTGGTTACTGTCCAAACACTCATTCAGTGTTTAGAACGGTCTGGAAATGCCACATTGAAAACCTTTCATGCCAAAATAACTGAACAAGGCTTTTTTTGAAAGGTTACATCATTGCTTTTTAGCACGTGACTCAAACAGAACCCAAATCAAACGCTGAACGAGTGATCGGTGACCCGGTGGATGTTAAGAGACGAAATGTCACAGTCTCACTGTGGTTGGTCAAAAACGGCAGCTCTGACAATCACAATGAGAAACCTGTCTGAAAGTTGTTCTGCCGTTCTTCAGAGATCCAACAACTATTCAATTTCTATTCAATTTTATTTTTGTAGCATCAAATCACAACAGCAGTCGCTTCAAGGCAAGGTAAAGACTCTACAATAGTAGCTATTAAATGGACTGCTATAACAGGGACCCACTCATCGCTAACTCTATGCTATCAGAACCCCCCAAAAGTTCCTTTAAGCTTGTCTCTCTTATTCAGGCGGCTGTTATGTTAAAATTGGATCACAGCATCACACTGTTACCCACTGCAATCAGAAATAAGGCTAAGAGATCATTGTTTCAGTCTTAAAAAGTTATTGTTGTAAAATAATTCATGGTTTTAGGGCCACCGCTTGTGTTTTGAAAGGTTTCACCTCAACCACAATATCCCAACAACGACCATCGGATATTCATGTTGCCTCAGTTTCTCTCTGAGTATCCCAAACCCAGCTCCTTCCCAACCCTGTGCTATTAGAAGAATTTTGGCATTTCTAACTAAATAACCTCTACCTGTTAACTCATTTCAGTAACTAATAGGTTACTCCTCCTCGTTACAGAACGTTCCTTCCTCGTGAACTGCGTCTGTCTGCATCACAGTGCCGGGTGTTTCGACGAGTCTCAAGTTTGACGAGTTGTTTTCAGACTTCTATCTTTGAGTCTTGACTTTGATGTTTTGACTTCACCTTTGCCTTGTTAGAGTTTTTACTCAGACCAATCTTGGTCATGTTTTTCCATCTTTTAAGATAATTTTTATCACCATGCTGCAGTTTTGGTAGCTTATAAACGTGAACTGTCAATGACTTGGGTTACGTCCACACGTACCCGGGTATTTTTGAAAACGCAGATTTTTCTATGCGTTTGCACCTTTCGTCCACACGTAAACGGCGTTTTTGGTCACTGAAAACGGAGATTTTTAAAAACGCCTGCCAGGGTGGATATTTTCGAGAACTCCGTTTTTGCGTTTACGTGTGAACGAGGAAAACGGAGAAAACGTCAAAGGTGTGCGCCTTTTTTGACGTCACACTGTGCGCCACGTTATTGTTTCGGTGAAATGAATTTCTACAATACTGTTTCTGTTAATTCTACTCTCTGCAGTGTTTAAATGCTTACATATACACACAGTTACTGTCCCTCCACACATACGACTCGGTTCTGCTTCTATGCCCCAGCTTTGTTTACTTTTTCCCACCGAGGCTTCTAGACTTCTGATTGGCCAACATTTCTACACGGTTAGGAATATAGCGCCACCTGCTGCTTTGGCATGTTCATAGCAGTGTTTTCCTTCATTTCTGCCTTTACGTGTGGACGGGATTATTTTTTAAAACGAAAACGGAAAATCTCCGTTTTCAAAAATACCCGTGTACGTGTGGACGTAGCCTTGATTTGACTGCATGTTTGCGTCTTGAGTCTATAGTGTTTCTGTAGTTGTTTGTACATTAAGCCTCATTAAGAGTTTTCTCCCAGAAAAAGCAACAGAGATTAAAATAAAAACTTTTGTCTCACAGTTTCTACCCAGATTCGCTCTTTTTCAGCCGTGCTCACCTCCACGCTGTGCTTGTCCTGAAAGACACAAACAGAAACCACACAGGCTCCTTTTAGTGATTTATTTCCAGAGTTCCGATTTTATTTTCAGTAAATGAAGGTAACATCTCGCAGTGTAAAACCGTGGTCCTCACCTCCTCGTGGAGCCTCTCCTGTGAGGCGTTCAGGTGCATCTGCCGCTGCTCCATGTTGGCGGTGGCGCGATGCTCCTGACACTCTTTGGCCAAAGCTTTCTGAGCGACTTCCCGCTCGTGCTCCCTCCTCTCGGCCAGGTGCTTCAGCAGCTCCGCCTCCTGACACTAGAGCGAGTCAGATTGTTACTGAGTTTCATCCCTTTACACTGATGCAGGGTTCTCAAAAATCTTGAAATGTATTTGTCTGAACAGACACGTAGAACAATTTGAAAGAACTTGTGGCGTTCCTCAGAGTTCGATTTTAGGGCCCCTAATTTTTGTAGTAACATCTGGATGGACTGCAATTTAAAACTGCACAGACATTCATGGTGACTTGAGGGTGAATCTGTCTGACTACTGACTCTATGAGCCTCACATCTCTGTTTTTATTGACATTTCTCTTAAACTCTTTGAAGAATTTCCATAAATTGTGCATTTCATATATGTTTGTTCTCCTTAGCGTGAACTGTACTAACTTGTTTATCGCAGTGAGACCAAATCAGGTCAACATTTTAATTTGTCCAAGAGGCAATACGAGCAAAACTGTTAAACATCAATTAATTAATGTTACACACATTAAAAATATTTAAATGTTTTTAAATAAAACGTCAAATTTATGACCTTAAACACTTTTAGGTCACCTACTACTTTGACACACATACACACCTTCCTCCTTTCCTGAGCAGCATCCAGTTTCTTCTGGATCTCCGCCAGCGATGGTTTCTGGCGAGGCGGTGTCGTGGCCCTGAGCTCGGGGGCGCCGTCGAAGGTGGGTGGCTTCAGAATGACCTCGAAGGCCTGGCCACTCGCTCGCTTGCTCAGTTCGATCACCTCCATGTCCCGGATGTTGCAGAGGTTCAAGTCCACCACGCCTGCAGTTGCAGAGAGAGGATGAGGCGGTGAGATGAAAAGAAGCCGTGGTTATTATGGTTTCATTTGGCTGACTTCGTTGTTGGGATTGACGCTAAACTACTGTTTTGTACATCTTCCTCGAACATGGACCGATTGAGCTCTGCAACTTTTAAAACATTGGTTTTCACTGGTGCTCTGACCAGAGCTCCCAGTGCATGAGATTCAGATTTTTATGACTCATTAATGGGCTGGTTGATAAACTGTACATCGCAAAATTTGATGATTTATTCAACACTGAATATAAACGTGTTTCCATTCAGAGAAAGCTCAGCCTCGAAAGGTTCAGCCTGCAGCTTTTTGGGTAAATATTTTGTGTTATTTACATTTCATATCATTCTCTGGTTTCATTTACTGGTATGACCAACTAAAAGCAGCCTCAGCATCGTCTTTCCTGCTGTAGCTCATAGACAGGTTGAGCCTGAATCTGTAGTCCTTTTTCACTGCAGACATTGTGACTGTTTTTAGCAGGACACCATTACTTCCTGTCTTGCGGGACAAAGGTGACTTTGTGCTACTGACCTTCCTTCTTGTTGGCCGCCGGCTCTCTGGGCTCGGGAAGGATGCAGGAGCAGAAGAGAGACACCAGGGGGAGGTCTCGCATCTTCTCCCTGTAAGCTGGAACATTCAGAGGGAAAAGATATAAAGAAAAGCTGCAGACAGGACTGAGAGATAAAAGCAAAAAGAAAAGTCGTTTACCTGCTAGAGTCATCCTGCTGCTGCTGCTGCTGTTCTCAGTCAAAGACACTGTGGTGAGGTAGAGTCTGTTCCTGCAGAGAGACACATCTAATCAGTGGAAGCCGATGAACAACAATGCCTCTCAGGCAGCAACACAAACATCAAACCCTGCACGAGCCGCATCTTTGCTCTTGCTGTTTCATCCGCAGCTCGCTCGTCCGCTGTGATTCAGTGTCATTTTGCTTTCTCAGGTTCACACACTAAGAATATCTCTGCCATCGATTCGATTTAAAGGTCAGCTTTTGCTCACGATGCAGCTTTTCTCGGCTCGTGTGAGTCATTCACACGAGAAGATTCGACACCTGCCACTGATTTGCTTCGGGAGCTTAAAATAATCCACTCAGTGTGACGAATGAATCAGCAGCAGAGACACGAGGAGCCGCTCGGGCTTTGGCCTCCGAAGCGAAGCCGCCGTTGCAGAGAGAAACCCTCAGTGTGCCCCAGAAACAAAAACTCAGCAGCTTTTTCTGCTGTTCCCTCATCAGAGATCATTCAGATCACATGTGCAGGAACATCATCACTTTCTTCCGTGTAAGGCTTTACAGAGAGATTCTACAGATCTGTCTCGGATTCACACTGACCTCCACAGTTCTAAGAAATGTAAAGATTTAAAAGCAGACTATGGTTGTATTTGTAGTTTTGTCTGCATCTGTTATGAAACCACAGCAAACACGATGTTATCTGAACTTTCCTGCAGATAAACTCTGATCTGTTCTGAAAGCCTGGTAAACACGATGTTACTCAGTCACTGCAGCAAATTACAAACTGCATGAAAATCATTTGAATTTCAAAGTCAACTCCAGCTATTATCCAAGCCTGCTTAAGATTCATCTTTCACTACAAGTTCATCTTTTAAGCTATTTGCATTTGATCATTTCAAGTCTGCAGCCCAGAAAATGAAGAAAATACCAACATTTATCTCCACAAACTGCATTTCTAATTCTAAACATAAGAAGGCAAAAAGATTCAGAGAGTAAACGGAGAAAAGCAGCAAAGCTCTACTTTGTAAATGAGGAGGCATATTTATGTTTACATTTGCTTTTTTCTGCAGAAATTGATTAAAAACATGAATTTGTTGCAAAATTTAAATGCAAACGCAAACACAATGTCCTAACTTTGTGTGTGTGTGTCACTGCGTGCATCTGTGAGTGTGTGTGTGTGCATGCTCTCAGCGATGATGTCATTGTTGCCAGAAAGCACATCGCCTTCTGCAGAGATGAAGGAGCTGAACTCAAACAGCAAACCGAACGAAACAAAAACTGAAGAAGAAAATGGAGAGAAAATACGCAGGAGAGGATGCATGAGAGCGAGAAAGGAGGAAGAGATGAAGAGAAACTGCAGAGGAACAAATGCAGGAACAAAGAAACCGAGTCACAGCCGAGAAATCTGCTTTTATCGCCTCATCTTTCTGCTCTGAGCTGCAGAAAATGTAAAAAAAATAATAATAGAAATAATCAGTGTGGGGTGAACGAGTGGATCTGTCACTCACCCTGCAGCGATGCTCGCTCCAGCTCTTCTCTGTTCACACTGAAGATCTGCAGCTCAGCAGCATCAGCACCACCACACAGCAGCCCAATACATGACATCACCCACCAGCCCTCTGATTGGCCAGCAGGGATGCTGGGCCGCGATTGGTCCAGCAGGGCAGAGGAGGAGAAGGAGAGGAGGAGGAGGTGGTGTTGGGTTATTTCAGAGGAAACCTCCTGACCAGTAAATGAAAGCTCTTCATCAGAATCAGGAGGACAAACTTTGTCACTTACTGAAAGAAACATTAATGTGTTAAAGATGAAAAATCAACAGAAATTAAGCAGCGATCAACTTTCCTGGGATTTCATGTGTGCAGCACCAACAAGGGCTTCATGGAAGCAGCAGCACAGGCCGAGAGGCCGAGTCCCGACAACAACACAGAAAACATTCAGGCGGTTTTAAAAAGATAAAATCTTTCTTCTAAGAGGCAAAAATGTAAAAAAAAAAAAAAGACGTGAAACAAGCAAAAATATTAATGCTTTTAATGTGAAAGGGACATCCTCTGTCCACAGGAGCAGGACAGAGGTGAGCCTTCAGTCACCGTGTTTATTAAAATAAGATCTGTATCTGCATGTGCTGCATGCACCATGAGGCTACAGAGTTCTGCAAGGTCAAAGGTCATTTGATTCTAACTTAAACAGCTCTACCAAGTCAGAAGTACTTCTGAGGTCACGAGGCTCTGGCGGTGGGGGGAAGGATGTTTTTATGACTCACCTGTTTAAACTGTATTGAGGGTTAAAGCAGGGTGGAGGAACTCCAGGCCTCGAGGGCCGGAGTCCTGCAGCTTTTAGATGTGTCCTTGATCCAGCACAGCTGATTTCAATGTCTAAATGACCTCCTCAACATGTGTTGAAGTTCTCCAGAGGCCTGGGAATGAACTAATCATTAGATTCAGGGGCGCTGACCCAGGGTGAGATCTAAAACCTGCAGGACACCGGCCCCTGAGGGGCCCACCTGTGGCTTTGCATTATCAGGGGCGTGGCCTCCCTGATGGACAGGTGGCTAACGTTTTCTTCAAACTTTGACAGACTGCAGTCTGAATGCAGTTTGGGAACAAATATTGATTTTCCTGCAGAAAATGCTGGAAACACCTAAACATTACAAACTCTGGATTTACTTTCAACAACTTTTCAGCAGCTTGTTAACATCACATGACCTTTGACCCTTGGTAGCGAGCTGCAGAGGGATGATTCTTTATGCAGAAAAAGCATGAAGGCACACTCCAGGCCTCAGGATGAAAATCCTCCCACATACATTTGCTGCTGGGCGAATTAACGAGAGAACGTGGAGATGAAGTGTAAGGTGAGCCGGCTCTGCTTTGATCCGGTCTGATCCAGTTTGCTGGGTCGGCGTGCTTCTGAGGAAATGTCAGCGCTAAATTTACCGACTGACAAAGAAGCGTTACTCATCCTCGGCACACAAACACAAATCTGTGCTTGAGCTCAACGCCTCCATCTGTCACCGAGCTTCGCAGCCAAACAGTCTGCTGCTCTCCGCTCGCAGGACAAACCCACAGCGATGGAGTCCAGAGAAGACAGCTCGCACATCCACGTCTCGAACCGCTTTCAGCATCGATTAGGCTGCAGACAGTTCTGATCGATCAGTCATGCTTTGGGCCAAGTCCGAACAAGGTGCAATTTGGGGGGAGGCACGTGAGGATATTTCACACAGACATGTGGCACGCGGCAGGAAAGCACCTGCTTCAGATGGAAATATTTGTGGATAGCAGGCGAGCAGCAGAAGCGCAGGAGCGTAAGCTGCACCGTCAGCTTTTAAAGGTCATTTTAGCAGCTACCCGCTGCAGAAGCCAAGTTAAACTTTCACCACTAGGGGGCACTGCTTGTATTGAGATGCTTTTGGATGATTTTGGATGCTTGGGAATTCTCAACGTCACACTGAGAATTCCCAAGCATCCAAAAATATCCATGGGTTCCCGACGGGCCAAGACAAACGCAGAAAAGAAACGCATAAACGGACCCAGCGTCAGTCAAGAGTGACGCCAGCATCACGAACAGGGTGGAGCATATGACCCAAACGCTCGACAGAAGCCAAGTTTGATTCCTGAGGGCATTTACTGTGTCTTCCCCCGAGCGCGCTCCGCTGTCCTGTCTGAATAAAGACTAAAGAGCCCAAAAACCGTGGGCGAGGTTACTAATCTAATCTCTTAATCTTAGTCACATGAGAGTGGTTCAATAAAACACAGAAAATGACCTGGGAGTGACCACTGAAGGACTGAACTCCAGCTCCCATGATGCACTGCAGCAGAACATAATGTTCTCACGAGCTGCCCCCAACTCTGAACCAGATGATGTAATGCATCTGCAGTGTGTGTGTGTGTGTGTGTGTGTGTGTGTGGAGACAAGGTGAGCCAGAGGCTGCAGCAACAAGGAGAAGGAGAAACCTCCACATCCCAACTGATGATGTCATCTGCAGCCAATCAGCTGAGAGTGCTCAGAGCCACACCTTCTGTGTGTGTGTGTGTGTGTGTGTGTGTGTGTGTGTGTGTGTGTGTGTGTGTGTGTGTGTGTGTGTGTGTGTCTCTGATGTAAAATCGGGTTATGGATTCAGCAGAAACAATAACACATTGTGCTTTTATTTGAGCACTAAGGTGTTGCTGCAGAACAGAAATGAGGCTGTTTGCAGCAGTGCAATAGAGTAGAATAGAATAGAATAGATGTGACGGGAACAGAGGAGGCGGGGCTCTGGCCAGTTCTGCAGGATGCTTTTGAGGACAAACAGCAGCAGAATAACTGGAAGAGGTGACATCACCTCTGAGGCCGTAAGATGATGTCACCAACAATGAGGTCATTGCAATGAAATGGATTCGGAGTGATGTCATAATAATGGGACTGAGTAAAAGCAAGAAAGTAAAGTGGATGAGTCATGCAGCTGAGGTGAGACTGGACAAACACATTAGCGCATCTTTTACTCGTGCTGTGAGGACATAACCTGCAGTGTTACACAAACAGAATTAGGTAAGGGTCACGTTAGAGTAAGATTAAGGTTTTAATCAGGTTAGGTTGAGCTCAGAGTAACGTTGAGAAAACGTTTGTGTAAGGTTAGATTTAGAGGGTTGGACAAAGGTACTGATTAGGGCTGAACGATATATCGCATTTGCGATAATATCGCGACATGATCAAGTGCAATTTTCTAACCGCAAAGGCTGCGATTATACTCTGG